TAAATCAGTTTGTGGTGGTACTACTCAATGTGCAGATTTATGTAATCCAAATAACAACAATGATGCTAGTACTACATGTGGTTTGACTTGTTATGATAGTAAGTGGGTAGAAAAATCTGGTTATAACGGCACTTGTCAACTTAGTTCTAATGTTTGTGCTGGTGCTTCTTCTACTTTTTGTCCTGGTGGCAGTTACACCGTCATGCGTAATAGTTTAAGCAATCCAAATTATTTCGATTGCAATAATGGTTATGGTTGTGGTAACAATGGAGGATGTTGTGTTCGTATTGGTGGTCAAACTGCTAGTACTTGGCAATATTATTGTATTAAATGTAATCAAAGCTAAAACTGATGAACAGTTTTATTATATGAAGAGAACTTTATTCATGCTCTGCATGTATCTATTCTTACTTAGCTAGTTTCATTATTTATCTTTTATAATATGCGTACTTTTTTCTATCTTTTCTCATTAATATAATCATCTCTTTTTTTCTTGTACTCATTAATTAATACTCTATTAATATTTATCAAATATTTTCTTTCTAAAAATTCTTTTTTATGATATTACGTATAGAAACAATCCAAAATTTTCAATAAAATCTTCATAGTATAGAGAAATCTTTCATCTTAATTTTATTATTTTTCATGTGTTTTACTCATAAAAAAAGAAAAATAAGTATATAGCCGCATGAGAAAACAGAAAGAATAGAACGAAATAAAAACAAAGAGTGATTAATAATATATAAAATTACTTTAAGTATTATTGAAGCAGATGAAAAAAGTATAAAGAATGAGGATTTATTTCATTTGTTTTTCGGTTAATTATAAAAATCGATTGATTTAGTCTAAAGCTTTGAATAAACTAGAAAGTTTCATATTATGTCATTGGTATAAGTCTAAATCCGATCTATTGAATTTCGAATCTATTTCGGTTTTGATCAAGTTAGAATCTACCAGAGATAGAGAAAAGGCTTCCTATTCAAGTCATAAAAGATATTATCAATAAAAACAAATAAAAAAAAGACGAAACCATTCTGAATGTGAATTTATTTTTTTCAGTAATTTATTGTGATGTCTATAGACACGTGTTTATATTATTATTCTTTTCATTTGTACATGTATACATATAATAAGTGTATTATAATCTTTTTTGTATTGTATTGAGTATGTTTTTGTTTTGATGATTGTAATCATGATGACGTAAATACATTCAAGGACTGATCAAATTTTGATGATGATATAAATATTTCGGTTGTTTCACATCGAATATGTTCGTTGTTTTTTTTATTATGGTAACTTCGCAACTTATGAAGATAATATAAAGTCTTTTTTCATTCGTTTTTATTGAAGAAAAATTTCTTCAATCAATACACAAATCCCTCTTCAACTCACTAAAATTGCTAATACATCTTATCATTGAAAAGGTTATGGTTATCATAGATATGATACACTTACAACCTGAATGAATGATTCAATAGTTGATATATTAAACGAAAAGAAAATACCACGGAATAAAATAATAACAGAAATAGGGTGTGTGTGGGTGTAATTTATGTAGGTGATAGTGTCCACACCCACCAATTTCTTTGAAAATATTATTTTAGTTAATTAGTATTTAGATCAATTTAAATATGGACAGATCAATAGTGTTAGATTTGATTACAAGAGTTTCGATAAGAACAGAGAATCATATGTTTACTTGAGATAAGTTTAAAATCAGATATTTTAAATTTTATTTGTTACTGTACCATGAAATAAAGATTCAATTTATAAAATAATTATTTTTAAATGATCTTAGTGATATGTAATAGGATTATTTTCCTACTGGTAAAATATCAATTATAATAATTGTTATTCTCTTTAAAATAAAATGAAGTTAATGACAAAGCATTGAATCTATTTTCTATTGTTAAAGTTGACGAAAAATGATTACTATTATCATTAATTGAGTTTAAGTAAACTAAGAAAAACCGGAATCAAACATATATGGATCATTACAAACAACAAAAAGAATAAAAGTAAACTGTTTTAAGCATCTAACTGATTCGTTGTATTTGTTCAATTTTATAAAATCATTCAATTGCATTTTTATATCTTTTATTTCTTTTAAAACAAAATATATACATATAAAATATCTCAATTCTTTCACCTTCAAAATTAGTTTGTTAATGATAATTTCTAGTTCTTTTTCGTTGCTATTGCATATCATTAATATCAAGTGTAACCAGTTTGCTTAGAGTTTCATGTGTTGGAATTAAATCTTTTTGTGTTGTCAATTGCATATACATACCATATCCAACTTGTTGCATTTTCATATAAACATGAACGAGATTTAGATAAATTCGAATTGATCCTACTGAGCCATAACGATGTGTTAAATATTTCCATAGGAGTGTTATATAAGCACTTTGAGCTTGAAAAATAGCTTGTTTTTTCTTGAGGATTTTTGTTGGTGTTGAAGAGTCATCATGATAATGAAGAGGAGTAGAGAAGAATAATATAACAACAAATAAACGTGTCACTATTGGATCAGTTATCCATGATTTCTCAGCCATCTTTTCAGCTCTATTAAATTCTTCATATAATTGTATACCACAAATTAATTGCCATGTTTTATTATAAGCATTCACCTAGAACACAACAAGAAATGTGATAGATTGTCTTGTTGAAATAAATAAGTATTTTTGAATGATTTTGACTCTTTTTACCTGCCATGGTTCAGCATAACATGATTGATTAAGTTCATGAAGATTAGGAAAGATTAATGGTCGAATATTAGTTTTACATAGATAGTTTCGAGTCGAACGAGGAAGAGAATAATAAGCTGGTAATGTTTTAAGAAATGAAGAAACTGCCAGAACTATGCTCATTGTTATAGTTGTTGGATAAATATTGTATGATTGTTCATCTGGTGATTGTGGTGTTCTATTGAAAATAACTGTAGAACGTTGTCGAAGATAAGTTTTAATACAACATGACTCATAAGCATAAACAATATTTGATAAATGACGCCAATCTATTTCTGCTGATAGATCAATATTATCTACCATATACTGCAAAAGAAAATATAAAGCAACATAGAAGTAATCCTTATAACACTTTAATTAATGAAGATGAATATGTAGAGATCATTCACAAATTATTGTCATCTTTTAGAAAATTATGATGCTGGAAAGATAATAAAGTTTCTTAGCTTCCAATATAACATCAAAATAGTTAGTTGTTTATTTAAATCTTGTTCATTAATATCTATTCACTGTTTGTTTTGAGAACGTTGACCTCGATATATTTTAATTAACTGAAATAATTATTATTTTATGTATTCGTTAGACTATATGATGAACCAATATGATAAAGGGAAGTAGATTGAAAGGACTCTTCTCATTCAAATTTTTTCTACATTCGATATTCATCCTGAATATATATTTTATATTATCTTTTGACAACTTATAATCTTTCAGGAAGTCGAATAAATTGTACAAATAAGAATTAGTTGTCTTCCCTCGACATTAAATATGAAATTAGTTTTTTTTTAATCTCATGCAGAAAAAGCATTTGCTAAGTACTCTGGAATTAATGACGAGCGTATAGAAAGCAACTATATCGTACAGAAAAAGAATAAAGAAACGAACTGTTTAACACTCACATGTGATATACACGTATATATAAGATGTACAGTAAAAACAAGATTCTATAGTCAATATATCAGAAACATATGCAGTATATACTGGAGAATATTATATACAGACATTTGACTTGATAATAATATTCAGAATAGAGGATGAAGAAATCTTTCTTTTCAATATTATTAAATTTATATGAGTGATTAGTCAATAACTGTTGTCTAAATGAGTTAAACTATATTAAATATTGTAAATTCTACCAGTTACATCTAGTAAATATGAGTATATATATTATAAAGAAATAGAACTACGCTAAAACGTTTATCGGATCAACTGATCCAAAGAACTGTTTTTCTTTAGTTTCATAAAACTTATATTCTGTCTATTACTAAGCATATCCATGCCATTAAATATGGGCAATTTTTGTAGATCTATGTTAGCTGCTACGTTTACTAAAACTTCTCTTTTTACTAAATACTGATAAAACACACGTTTTATACGTAGAGACAACATAGATGAAAAGTTCAAAATAGAAATAGATAATTTCACATTAATAAGTGATCCAATCATTTCATTTTCGATCATCTATTTCCTATGATGAATATTTACCTGAGGAATTGATAATTCTTTTATTTCTCGTATTTGTTGTGTTAATAATTTTCGTTGTCGACGATTTACATCAAGAAGCTGTCTATATCGTTCATTTTCTTCATCTGTTCGAACTAATTCTTCTTTCATTCCCAGATCAAAACAACGACGCAATCGACATGATGAGCATCGACGAATTTGTAAATAACGCATTGTTCTTTCATTTATCTCATAATTATTCATAATTTCCACACTCATATCACGATGTCGACATGGTAATTCAAGAAGCTAGACAACAACAATAATAAATAGCTTTTCAGTAAGAAAACAACTGTTTTTCTTACTTCTTTTCGTCGTGCATTTCGTCGAAAAAAAGCTTTTATTTTGAAACAAAAAAAAAAGCAAATATGATATAAAAAAATAAATAAAAATACAATGCAATACCTTTACAAGGAGCACATGTTAATACTCCAAAGTTTAGTCCAATTGATTTTGATCCACATATAACACATCGATTAATAGAATCATGTGACTTTTGCCCACAACAATGTATTCCTGAAGTCATTGGTTGAAATGCGTTGTTCTATTTCGTAATATAATATTAGAAATTTATTCTGTTAGATTTTGTCGTAGATTCGTAAGATTTTTCTCCTAAGAGTTCACTATGCTTTTTTTTAATACATGTGCTAGTGTTCTTAAATTAATTCTAACTAGACTAATGAAAACCTTCATAAGTTTTAATTAAGCAAATCTACTGTGAGAAAACTATAAATAAACTACTTCATGACTTTTATATTTTTAGATGAAATGTATATGATTAAAAAGCATTTTATTATTTACTAATATAAATTGAGAAATATTTAGATTAAATATTTTGAATAACGAAAAATATTTTCATTCTTTGAGCAAAAACGACTAAGAATATGTCTAGCAGACTGTGTTATTCAAGAGTTTCCTCTCTAAAATTAGGAACTAGTATGAGCGAAAATGTTTGTTTTCATACATTCTTATTTATATAATGAATTTTCAAGATCAACGGTTTCGAAATATTATTTCTTGATATCATTTCCTTAGACTGCTCAACTAATTTATTTCTTATAAAAGAAACAAATGTTAGTTTAGATCTAAATATGTCAAAGTTATTATAATTATATATAGAAATGATTATAGAAACAATGATAAGTGCTTCTAAATTGAATATGACATATACATATATAAATAATCTCAAAATTATACAGATCAAAATAATTCATCCTAGAAACATTGAAAAGAAAAAGAAATAAAATCTTACCATTTGTCTATCATAATAAACATCATCTAATGAATTCATAATAATTATTTTATTTAGCGTTTCAACTACAAGTAATAATTTATTGAAATATTATTGAATTGTAATATTTATATATAAACACAACTTGTCTATAATAAAAAAGAAAAAATGTAAAGAAACATGTTTTTACTCTTTCAGTGTTTGGTTTCCTTTTTTTCTAATACGCAAAAGTATTTTCAAATATTCTAGTAGATTATTCTTTCATTCGCTGATTAAAGAATCACAAGAAATGTGTAACATTTATTTTTAGTACAAAAACTTGACATTAGGAAGATAATATAGCAAGTTGAACGTAAATGCAATCATTTGGATGGATAAATTCATGTAAATCATACATTTCATATTTATTTAGAATCTCTAAAACTATAGTTTAGATTCTTCTTTAAAAATAAACATAGTTATATTCTTTTTTCTAACATATACTGACGTTTTACAGACTAAAAATTAGTTTTGACTTGCTATAATTTTTCTTTTGTAAAATACTATGTTAAATTAATATGATAGATTATGTTCCTTTGTTGTCATAAAATATTACCATATAACTAGATTTATTTCTGGCAAATACATTTTTTTCTTGCTACAATAATAAGATTCATAATTAAATGAAAATATGTTGGTAAATTCTTATGTATGTTATTGTTTGAATATATAAGTACGTATAAATAGTATTCTGTTTTAAACTACTATGTACTCATAAAAAAAGCAATTTCATATCTTTTTATTTTACATTCACAATAACGTTTAGAAATTAGTGAAGAAAGGATTAATTATTTGTAGTTCTTTGGAAAAGGTATATTAGTCTTTAGTTTAGCTAATGTAAACTCATTGAACTTCGAAATTTAATATAAGACAGACTGATGGTAATTGCATGGTTATGTAACTTTAATTTTACTAATAAAAATAATCTTAAGCTAAAGGCATAAAAGTTAACAAGAGCAATTTTTGAATCACATTAGCTTAATAAAAATAGAAAGAGTTTCTTATATAAGTCTACAATTCACCTTGTCTTAAAATAAAACATAAGATAATTTACTAATGAAATAGTTTAAAACTTGTTTTTAATTTTATACTAAATCAGTTATCTGTATTTATTCAAAACTCAGAAACAAGATTATCCAAAAGATAAAGGAAAAAGAACGCTATATTTGTTCCTGTTATTTTCCAGAACGCTGAAGAGTGTTCGGAAATCTTAAAGATAAAGTCAAGCTAACATTTCTACTACTATTCCCTCGAATTGTTGTATCGTCTAATAAGAACTTTATTTATAATTTCAATATTTCCTTCGATTTCGATGAATACATTAAACAAAAATGACTAGAATATTTTTTCGCTTGATAAATATACACTTACTTAAATCTAATGCGTTCATTCTTTTAACATGACCTCGAAGAAAAAAAAATAGATGTATCTATCAACTGATACACTAAGATTTATTCTTTCTTTCTCATTCAACTGATAATACACTCATAATATATATTTCATATTTTGGCCTCACATTTTTTTTCTTTCTTTCGAATGATCAATAATAATTTGTTCTTCTTCTTTTTTTCTGTGTACACATCAAGTATACACCACATGTATGTAATGATAGACATTTTTTTTTACATCACTAACTGCATATGTTTTTCTCCATAACTGACGTAGCATGCTATAGGAAGATTTTAATCAGGCAGGCAAATATATGTTCGAAAAATATAACAGACAGAAATAATCTCTCATCTAAATTACATAAAAATAAATCATTTCTTTTAATTACGATAAGATTTTCTTATACTTCTGACCGCTGATAAAAATTTATAATAAAATAACCTTGTGCTTAACGACTAATGAAATGTTTCTATATTTCATTCGTTTATTAAGATATCATAGATAATTAAATAGGATAAATATTACAGAAAAATTATCTTAATATTTTAACTAAATCTAAACTGTAAAAAAAAACAATGTTTTTTCATATGCTACGATGTATAATCGTATGAGAATGCTATCAAAATGGAATTTTTTTACTCACTGTTAAAGTGATACATGATAGTTCCTGAGGGTGTGGGTGTGGGACTGAGTTACGAGCAGAGGGATATCCACACCCACACCCACACCCTATAAATAAAATATCAGATATGATACGCTCCATTTTCGGTCGCTAATGAATATTCCTGATAAAATATGATACAAGAATTTACTGAGCTTCTCAATCAAGTGAATTCCAAATGCACTTGCTGAATACTTTTCTCTATTTATGTTTCTTTATAGTTAAAAAACCGTAGAAAAAAAACATATTTATATAATTATAATAGTATTGCAAAAGAAAGTGAATGATAAAAATATCAATAGTGAGATATTTTATTCGCAAGCGGTTGAATCAACGTCTCTTTTTTAACTGCACCGTTTTCGAAAATAATTGCTTGTACCCTTCCCATCCTAAGTAACTTGTCGACGACGTCTGATCCTTCTTTCTTTCAAACAGAACAGAACAAGAAAAAAAACTCGATATTGCAAAGACATTTCGAACATGCATGTATAGATGCGACATGCGGATGTTTGATAGTTACTGCATTATTTTTTTTCATTCTCTAATGGTTATATACACAACTCTATTCGATAATTTTCTTTATCTGCTTTAATCATACATATATATATGCATAAGGTTGTCTATTCTTTTCTAACGTATTAATCATGGGTAACCGAATAGTCACCAAATTTGGCAAATCTAAATCGCTAACTGATGAAGGTTTGTTTATCTATTGAATTATTTTACTGATTGACTGGTCATATTTTTAGAAATCGTTGAAATACAAAAGATTTCAAAACTTAGTGCAGAGGGTAAGTAGAAAAAAAGAATTCATTTTATCTCTATATAGAATTGTTTATTCTAATATAGAAATCAGAGAAGAACATAAAGTAAAAAGAAATTTTATTTGTGATAAACTACGATCATCTATTCTTGTTTGAATTTACATTAGGGATTTTTAAAATTACAGCCAACAGGTAAAATGACCAAGGAACAATTCATCCATATGTATAAGTTGCTTGATTTCGATTACGATATGACTGATAAAGTGGCTTGCGAGTATGTTCATATATCCATTCAATCATTTCAAATGGTTTAACATTTTCTTTTAACATATTCAGAAAAGCATTTGCTACATTTGATAAAAATAAAAATGGAACAATCGAATTCGACGAATTTCTTTTGGCAATGCACTTCCTACGGCCAAATACCATCGAATCAAACGTTGATATTCTCTTTCGAGGGTTATTTTGATTGAATATTATAATTTACTGATGATCAACTACTTCTTTTTTTATTGATTAGGTTTGATTTTTCTGGTGATGGATATTTAGATCATGAGGAAGTAACTGCAATCTTCGATGGTGCCGTAAGTTAATCCTAATATCTCCTTGTAGTAGAGCATAATTGATTATTTTAGGTAGCTTTGAATCTTGTAAAAGATGCTGATCCTGATTATGCCGAAAAAACTGCTTCCGAAGTATTTGCAATTTTGGGTCTCAGCGATAACTCAAAAATAAATAAAGAACAACTTATCAAAGGGTATATAGAAGTATTTTTTCTTCTCTATTTGATTTTATTTGTTTCAGATGTAAAGAACATCCTACTTTGCTCAAAAAGCTCTACTTGTAGAAATAAACAGTATTGTCAACGGATACTTATTTTCATAAATTAAAAACTATTCCATTACTCTTGTTATTTCTTCATGTTAACTTACATATTTGAATTTAAGACACAATAAATTAAATTTTCAGTAATTTTTTAATTTTTTTAAGGTGATCGATGATTTCTTGTGTGTTACAGAAGAACTAGTTTACAGATGCTGTAGAGAAATATTTATGTTTATCGGAAATGAACATTTTTATACCTAATATGATACATTAGTTGTCTAAGCAACTTCAACTGTATCCAAGCAGACAAAAATTTGAAAAATGCCTCTAAACTTTATAATCAGGAACCAGAATTGTATGATTTAAAGGTGTTTTTTTGAAATTCGCGTCTACTACGGTATCTACATTTACATAGATACTATACGAAAGGTTAACACGCTCAGAGACAAGTAAACTTATAACTAAGATTACAGCGGATATGAGTTTATCTTTTTTTAAGTCACACTTACGTCCATGTACACAGAATACATTTTCGATTATCTCAAGTCAAAAAACCCTTTTGTAGCTTTAATTTATTAACAGGAAAAGAAAAAAGAACTAAATATTTTTCGATAATAGTTAACATATGGTTAATGATTGCAATCAATTTATATTCCTTTTGAAATGATAAGTAAGTGAATAAAATTAGTGTCTTATGCAACTTGTTTAGAATACATCGGATAGAAAAAGAATCTTTCCATAGAATTAAGCAATCAATCATCGATTGTATTTAGTAAAGTCAGTTATTTTTATTATACAAAAATCACTTTACTTTCTTTTGCTTTGAGAAAAAAAAATGAAAGATGACAAAATTTCTTTGAGAGTAGATGTGAATGTTAGTGATAGATGAACGTATATTCACTTACTTATTCATCCACAATCACTATCTCGAAAGTCTTTGTAAAGCGTGGGTCTATTCTTCATTCATATCAGCATGCCACACCATTATAGATTTCTTTTTTTATTCATTTATGTGAGATATTATTTGTTCGATCAATTATGAATTAATTTCTCGTAACAAATCTATTTAACATTATTTATTTAATGAGAATCAAGATGAATGATTGGAATATTTATTGTTAAATCAAGAAAATTATCATGAGATAATAATAAAAGCTTAACTAATAAAAAGAAAAAGAGACAAATAATATTGCTTCAATTATTTTCGATTAAATTGTGTGTATTATTCATCTATGCTTTTTACGATGTCATATTCAAAACAAATGTATGCCATTCAGGATCGCTGACAAAGGTGTGGGTGTGGGACTGAGTTACGAACAGAGGCATATCCACACCCACCGACACCCACACCCACACCTAAGAAGATTTGCCGATTTTGTTAAGCAAAAAATAGAAATTTCGTAAGACTGAAAGAATGTTACAGTCCCCTTCCCGGTCGCGACACCCCTGATTGTTGGTAGTATTCATAATATTATCTTTTCTTTTGTGTTCATTATATATAAATTTATATTTTGAGGTATATCATCAAAATAAACTTTCAAAAGTAAATGAGGGTTTTCTTAAAGAATATTTAATAATATTGACATCATTGCAGAATATTTGAAAATTTGAATAGACAGTTTCTATAAAAAATAAGTTGAAGTAAATGCGACTGACAAAGGAACTTCACCCACTATCCAATCGCTTTTTTAATAAAAATCATTGGGATAGAGGTTATCAACCATGCTGATTCCGAATAAGAGAGTGAGAAGTGCCCTTGGACCTTCATAGAGTGATTTCATAGAAAATCGATTTTCAAAAACCACATACTTTTTACTATCCAGACAGACACGATCTTTAAAAAAACGCGTCCAAACAGCGCTTCAACGATAGGCCATCATAAAAACGGCGTTTTTACGAATTCTTAACACGTTTCTACGCGTTTTTTTAAAGATCATGTCTATCTGGGTAGTAAAAAGTATGTGGTTTTTGGAAATCGATTTTCTATGAAACCACTCTATGAAGGTCTAAGGGCACTTTTCTCGCTCTTATTCGGAATCAGCATGGTTGATAACCTCTATCCCAATGGCTTTTATTAAAAAAGCGATTGGACAGTTGGTAAAGTTCCCTCGTTAGTTTGGTAAAGTCGTTGTACAGCTTTTAAATCATCATAGCTAGTTCAATAATTTTTGATTATATATATAACTAAATATAATATTTAAGTTTTTTGGGTGTGGCAATGGCCACCAATTGCCCTCTGGTGGCCCGCCTATGGTACTAACAATGAACAATTGTATAGAATAATGTTCTTATCAACGGTCTATGAAAAGCTTTTATTGTTGGATTAGTTGTTAAAAAACAAGCGTATCAATTTCGTCTGTCATTTGGAAATATATTGATAAGATTAAGAAAGGAGTAGGATACTATTATAGCAGCAGATATGTGAAAACATCGCAAACTTTACAATTGAATCAATTCTTTAGTGTTGATATGAGATTTCAGTTTGTTATTTAGTCTTTTTTTTCTTTGCACTTTTCAAATATTCATTGCGCTTATAGATTAATTAGTTATGATCATATCAACTTTAATACAGAGACCTATTTTTCATAGAATTATAAATGAGAGAATTAGCATGTTTGACTGTGTATAAAAATGTGCATATATGTCTATGTGGATAAAGGAAACAATCATCGAAAGAAGTTTTGATAGAATTCTATTTATCATAAAAACAGAACGAATGAATTATTCAAATTTAACAAGAAGTTCTACGTATTTTAAGTATTAAAACCAGCAAATGTATTTGAGGATGTGGGTGTAGATTCATCTTGTATTTATCCACATCCAAATACTATTGAACATTTGTTTTGACATCTTTCCATAAAAGGAAATTCAATGGTATTTAGTCTAGTGAGCATGAAGTCCATAAGATCGATCCAATTCAACAGCTATCAAATTTGTTGTTCGATCATGAACGGACTGTTTCTAAAATAGATGACTATAGTATTCCATCTCTATAGCAAATATCTTCTACTAAGAGTTGGTCGATGTCAGTGTTAGTTTTTTCTTTTACGAATCGTAAACGGCTGGTATATTAAAATATCAGTTGATCTATAGTTAAAAATGTCAAATTGTTGTCATGAAGGCTATATTAGAATCTTGAAGGTGTTGATGTGAATAAGACTAGCTAAGAATAAATACAAGGTGTACAGAATATAGATCAATTAAGAATCATATCCCAAAATTATTAACATAGATTGACAGTCATAAACAAGTAATGAGAATATTAAAGTATATAATTATTATTTATTCAAGAAAAAATTAACTTAAGTAAGGAAATTTAATAGCAATTCTTTCATTTATATTTTTATAATCATCTTTTAAAAGACGAAAAAATTTATCGTAACCTCTTCCACCATTTTCACGATCAACCAAACGTAAGACTTTTTTTGCACACGATTTAAATAATGTCATATTTTCTGGTTCACAATAAAAAGCCGATAATTCAGCAGTTGAACATACTGACGCCATTTTGGTTCGATGAACTTGAAATCGAGCATTAACAACTTGTATACCAGTATAAGCTTCCATAAGCTGAGCATATTCAGTACTTTTTCGAATGTCACTTAAATGTTGAATTAAACTTCGACATTTTGGTGAATGAGATTCATATAAACTTGAGCCTGCAGTGCCAGTACATGTTTTTTGAATATCTCCTTCACTTAGAATTTTAAATAAGTGTTTACGTTCTTCTGGACAGCATTCATGTATCATACGGCATCTTGTTCTTCTGTCTCCACGAACAGATTCATATGGAGATTGAGTAATATAATGATTTTGTAATTCTGTCCATTTTTCTGCATCTTCATCAAGTGATGATAGTGAATCTTCATTTGAATCAATTGCCTTTACAGCAAAAATTGTAATAGTTAAAAGAAAAATGAATTTAGTAAACATTTCAATAACTGAACTAAAAAAAGAATAAGAAATCCTATTGATTTTGAATGAAAAATAGAAATAGATAACTTACTTGGTTGTCGAACAAAATGATGTATGAACTATGCCGATGTTAGTGTAGTATTTATATGGTGAAATATAACAACAATAGACAGTAATAATGATTAGTCGAGATAAGAAGAATGACTTTCTTTCTTTCTTTTCTAACAAATGCACTTCAAATAGTAATCGATTCAAACAATGAAAAGTATACATATGACCATATATCAGTCAGCTGAAAATCATTCGATGAATCTAAATATATGACCTTTTTGAAAAGGAAAGAAACATAGAGATAATAATCCTATCATATTTTTTCAAAATAACAAATTAAACTTTATATAAAAAATTTCTTTTCATAATAGCTATATCTATTTAGTTTACAAATAATTTCTCTACATTCTATTAATATAATAGTAGTCATATAATGAACAAATGTGTAAGTATAAAAAACCCTCTTTCTTGTTTTTTAAAAATATTTGATAGATAAAACAAGTTATCAATATATTAATCAACTGAAAATTATGAATGATACGTTTATCTTTAACTAAATCAGATACGTTATTGTGTAAAACAAACATTACTAGGGCATTTTGAACTGATCGAATTTGTTTCGATGACATTAGAGAATAGAAAGAAAAGAAAAATAAATATATACCATCGTATGTCATATTAAGTATGCCATAAATATACAAAGAATCTTCTATTTATTACATAACGAATAAATAATACGATGAAATTTAGCCAGATTTTCTATAATAAATACTTTTAGTAAATAATACTTCGAAATCATCATAAATTAGTTTTTCTATTCATTCTGATGCTTTTCTTCAAAAAACAAAATAATATCATTTAAAATATTTTTCTTTAGATTAATATTTATTTCTATTATATGAAAAAATGAACATATTTTACAAATTAAATAAGACAATAATATAATTTAAGAAAATTATTTCAACAAAATATTGTTTAATTTTATAAGTTGAAGTTAGATGGACGAATTTTCATTTCAATTTTCTTTAATGAGTAGGTCCAACCATGCCATGTTTGCCAATTAATTCCTTCGCCTAAGTTATTATTCTTTCGTTGACCATTTGGATTTACCGTATGACAATCGTAATACCACCAAGCACCTTTATATGTTTGAGCACAGTTACCATATCGTGTACTGTGATCATTATCTCGATCATTAGTTGTAAATTTCATGCCATTATGTCCAGCCAGTGTTTTATCTAGGTTTTATGTTCCGAGGGGGCAACCGTGGTTTCCGGGTGGGCAAGCGTAGTTTTCAAAAAAAGGCTGTATAAAACTTTTTTTGATATAACAAAAAACAAATTTTTATTTATTTAATACACAGTAGATCCCTCCGCATATTAGAAGCCTTCGGGAACTCCTAATTTGTCTACCATTTATAATTTCTGGAGGTGGCTTCTATTAAGTCTCAAAAAATTTTCATAGACCATGATAAGGTAATCGATTCGAAAGATTTCTAGAGATTTTCAAGATTTTCACGAGTTTTTCAGAAAATTTTTGGCAATTTTTCTAGATTTAGCACAGTTAGATAGGAGTTCGTCGAAATTTCAACTTAAAATCGAGAAATTTTAGTAGTTTTAGCAGGAAAATTCGACAAAATCTCAAAAATTGTTAAATTTTTTTGAAAAAATTAGAAGGGCTTTTAATACGTCAGACATGTTGCTCGTCTCAGAGGAAACTTGTATTATAGGGAGGTGTTTATAAGTAAACCTTTGCTTTGCTATCAATATATTATGAAAATAAATACGAAAACAAAAAATACAAGACTTGGAGAAAAAATCTATATTGAACCGAAGTTCTTCGCACTTTTTTTTCATTGTTAGTTGATTTCTTCATTTTTTCCCTTTTAAAATAGGAAGTCAAAGATTTTTGTCCTGATGACACTCGTTGAATAATGTATGTTAATAGGTGAAATAGAATAATGTGACCGATATGAAATATACGACGTAAAAGAACAATTAGCCTAACACGAACGAATTTTTTTCATCTTTTTGTTCTTTTGCATGAATATCATGATGAATAATAGATAATAGACTATTTAATACATCGTCAAACAGTTATATAATATTCATATCCGACTGTTCTCTTCTTTTATCATTGAGAAAACACAAACTATACATTACTAATTGACGAAAGAGTAGAGTGAAAGTATTATGCTACAAAAAAATAAAGAAAATGTTAATTTTTTTTAATATAATAATTTCATATTTCCGGGGGGGGGGGGGGCGAAGCAAAATCCCGAGGGGGCGGCGCCCCCACGGCCCCCACGCTAGATAAAACACTGTGTCCAGCTAATGAGTCACCGGCATCACCCTTGATAAATGCATCAAATGTCATTCGGTAATCAGTTGATTCATCACCAATACGAAAACCAGAATAAACAGCAAATCGTTTTGCTCCTCCGTAATCTTCAAAATCGAATCGTAAATCATATTTATCTTGATTTGTTAAGGTATAAATTCTATCATTTCCTAACCAAAATTCACCTCGACCATCTCCGGAACCTTCTTTATAATCCTTCAATTTGCGATAAAAGTCTTCTTGAGGTTTAAATTCACCTCGACGTTGTATGAAAGTCCAACCACCGCCATCAGTTTCCATATCACAGAATACTTTAAATGATTTACTATTTTCTGGATATATTGTGTAAACACCACTGGTAATATCTGAACCATCGCGTTCTTGCTTGCGATAAATTGCAGCACAATCAATTGGACGACGTGTTTCATCTTCATCAAAATTTACACTTTTATGCAGTTTTGTTGGTTTTCCATCGGTAGTAGGGTGAGATATTTTTCTGGCATTGCCTAATTCGACAAGTAAATTGACCGTAACGAACAGAATAATAAATTTGAACAACATTTTTTATGATACTTCACTTATAAAAACACACGTTATTTATAGGCTGATAAACGTCCATTATGATTCTTCTATAGATGATGATCTCTCTTTTCGATATCTATGTCATGTCTTTGTTTTCCATGATATCATTAATATCTATATCCTTTATGTCTTTTCTTTTATCTTTTGTTCTAGAAACATATATTCGATTCAATATCTCGAATGTCTAAATGACTGTTTCGTCCGTCAGATGATGATACGAATAATAGTTTTAGTGAAAAGAACGAGAAAGAAAGAAAGATAATAATGATTTACTATTACATTTTACTTACAATATATTTTCTTTTCTATGTCTGTTCTAGTTATTAGGCCCTCTTGATCTGAATCTTTTCTAATAAAGGTCAAAAAGAAAACATAGAAAATATTGAAATAATTGGTTGTCGTTTTTTGGAATTAAATTGATTATTACGAAATTACAAAAGAATAAAGTTTTAGTAATTCACACAACGAAAGAATTCGGAGTCATAAAAAGTTAAAAGAAATTATCAACTTTCGAAGAATACATTAATATGGTATTTCACTGTTTAATTAAATAAGTATATTTCTTTTTAAGAGAAACAACGAAAACAAAAATCATATTTTAATATCCTCATCTTTTAAATGAATCAATAACATAAGACAATTATACATAAAAAATATTAACCTTTGATTTATAATTAAATGTAGTTAATAAAGTTTGAGTTTAGGTGTAAGTTTACAATAAAGTTTACTTATGAATATGATAGGATTGATATCTAGATACTGATGAAAACATAAACTCTAACAAAATACACGTTGCTTTTGTATTAATATATCAATGTTTTGGTGAATATTAATGCTATTGAAGTTGAAATTTATTTAGTAGCAAATTATCCTATTAACAATTTAATTGAATAGAACGATACTGTCTCTTACTGAGATAGTTTTTCTACATAGTTCTTTATAATAATAAAACTCAAAAGAAAAACTCTTTTAAATAAAAATCATACCTTCGAAATATTTTTGTTTGCGTATAAGACTAAATGTTTAAATGAAACAAAGAACAATAGAATCTGGAATTGAAACGAGTGATTATGAAAATTTATATAGATATCAAAACCACCAGATGTTGAATTTTTCTTCACTGTCTTATTTATCTTATATTTTATAGACGAAAAATAATATATCTTATTTTTTGCCACCAGTTATTCGACGTGGTAGTGATTTATTATTTCGAATACCAGTAGTTAACTGAACATGAGTATCATAAGGATTAGATGCTGCACTTATACCACATGAAAGACTTGTAACGACGTTCATAATAATCTAATTCTGATTCACTAGGACGACGTAATTATGATTGTACTTCAGTACCTTCTATAAAAACAATAAAATTGTTTATGAAATAAAAAAATCATATTTTCTATTAGGATCGAGAAATACATATGCACGAAGAATTGGATGATCCATAACAGTTATTGATCGATTCAGAAAATCATCATCATCAGGTCGACCTATTTATAGATTAAATATTTAAATTATGAAAATATCTTTTTCTTTCTAACTTCGTCCACTAGCATCAAGTCTCAAATATCCTTCAGCTAAAGAAGTAAATCCTGTTAAACCACTCATCGCTTTATATGGTGTTGCATATCCAGTTGGATGACCACATTGTTCTCTTTCTTGTTTTGTTTCAACTAATGTTATATGTTCATAAGCCGGTTCACCACATGTACATGTAAATGGTGCACGAAATCCACTATAATTACAATCTAAATGTCGATTCAAAAAACTAAAATTTTGTTTTTTTCATTGAGTGACTAACAATACCTTTGTGACATGTGTAAGGTGGTCGTGTTCCATGAGTGTCAAGTGAATGTTTACAACGACAATTAGGATCATTTGTCGCAGATGCATCTGCAACATACTCAAATGATACACAACGACATGAAATAAGAATGGGTCGTTCAATTGGAATTTCAGCAAAATCAGTTTTATATTCAGAAAATCTTCATTGAAATATAAAAAAATAATTAGTAATAATGTTTTCTTTTTTTATTTAGTTTACTTATGTCGACAAAGACATTTATGTTGTGATCCAATAATATTACAATCCATGCCTTGAGGATTTACCCATGATATATATAATCGACTGTGTAATTACTTAAAATATTTAAATTATTTTTATTTTGACATTGAAATAAAATATTTATTCTTTTTTCATTTGATATAATATCTAATTGGATATAAAAACAAAAAATTCATACCATTGTTAAAACTCATCTTTTATATGCATCATACTCTTCTGGTAAAAATAAATTTCCTCCATCGTCATCACCAACAATACTTGAAAGAAATTAATAAATAATAATAATAATTAATTTAATTCATCATTTAATTCTTACGCTTAATATTCGAAATATGCATCAACATGTGCAGCTGCATTTGGTGATAAACTAATATAGTCACCTGGTGCACATCCACGATTACTTTCTAACATTATTCTTTTCTCTATATACATGACTGATCGAACATGCACGAAAAAATTTCATTTTTAATTTCTTTAAATAATATAATAGAGTAACTAATTCTGGCATGTTGACATTATTCTTGTAGAGTTATATTGAAAGATCATTCTTGATTCTATTGAAAACTAGAACGTTCTTTTAATAAAATTAAACAAAGATCAGTTATTCATCGGTATTATTTTATTGATTAATTCATTTCAATATTGTACTAAAAAAATAGTTTTAATGAGAATCTTTTTCTCTTTCATTAAGAAAACAATGTAAAATTAATCATCATGAAAATAAATATTAATTTTACTCGTATAAATTCGATATAAAATAAGTATGGGAAATTATTTTGTTTTAATAGATTTTTTTTTCTCTCATTAAACTTTGCATTTCCTTATAAAAAATATTCATTTCCAATGTTTTCTAATATTAATTACATTCAATATTAGTCAAGGATATTTGTTTCCACATTCTACATAGTAGAATATGATATTTTTTCTATATTCTCTATTTGCAACAGATGATAACTCACATATGGCATCATTTTGTTCAGGACAAATTTTTATGAAGGCAATAAGTTCATTTTTTTTTATTGATATATGTATTATTTCAAGGATGATTATTCAAAAGCATATAAGAAACATTTCTATTAATTTAATTGACAAACAAATCTTGTTTTTACTTTGATTCAACACGATAGACAATAGAAAATGTATACTGATTTGTAAAGAAAAAAATCAAATATTTTATTTTCTGTGTCGCATGATTCATTACTAAAAAACATGAATAAATCCTATCAAAAGTCACTCATATACCTCTCGAATAGGAATTTCATGTGTTTAATTAAATCTGAAGCTTCGTTCAGGTATATTTTTAGGACTCTTAATATTAGAAATGTATTTTATCTTTAAAAATGAAGCCATGACAGATGTTAAGCGAGATAAAGAATTCGAAATCATTTACGTAAAGATCAACCTTAACTATAGATGGTTCTGTGAAAAATAAAACGATAAATTTTAGACAACAAAATATAAAAATCATAGTTCTTGAACTTCTTTCTATCGAAAGTTATTCAAAAAATATTTATTTACCTTTATTTTTGAAATGGATAGTAGTATCAATTTTATTAATTGTAGTTTTAATGATTGATATGTATTTGTGAAAACTACATAAGACATTATCGATCAAAACTAACTCTCATAAATTGAATTAATGTATGGTTTTTACAATGACATTTAGTATAAAATTTTATATTTAATTACCTTCTCCTTGAAAATCACCGATAAATATATCTAATTCAAGTAGAAAACACTTTCTTGTTAGTTGTAAAATAATATAGAAGTATATTGATTTAAATTTGATCAATTTTAAAAGGTTTAGACAATATCTAATTTGAACACTTATTTTTCATTTATCTTGAAATCAACTGTTTTATTTAATTTAAAAAATAAAATCAATCTTTTATATTATTAACATGAATCGTGTCTGGCTTTACTAATGAAATAAATAATTCGAGAGAGAACATATTAGCATTTTCCTGCTCTTTTCTACCTTAAAATCAGTCAGATAAACAGATTTATCAATCCAACATTGAATAGTTATGCTAGACGAGAAGTAGAATTACAACAATATTAATCTTATAAAATTTGATTTAGTCTAGTTTATATTTAGAATTAATGAGATAAAATATCATGAACAATAAATGTTATCTATTATGTTGTTTTTTCCAGATAAGAATTGTTAATCGAGAATAGAATAATATTATTTGAACAAAATTTCTATTGGATAACAAATTATAAAATAAAATATTTTTATATCGTTCATTTATTATCTTAAATTAATAAGAAAATATTTGTTGTTAGCTTTCTGACTTTGAAAAGTTGTTGAAAAAGCGATGAACTTTTATCTGAAAATAAATTATTTTCTCTCGATAAATATTTGAGTATAACTTGCAAGAATTATTTATATACTGTAACCTTTTTTATATTATCTTCATTTTTTACAATAGAAAAACTTTTGTAGATTATCACTGGAGAAAATTCAATTAAAATATCAACTATGAACGATAAAAAGCAAAATAATGATGATGTAATTTACAAAGAAAACTACAGTGGTAGTATTATTTTTAATTGTTCTTTTTGACTATTTTAGTTTCATTCGATTAATGAGGAAATAACTCCAACGTCAACTGATCAAACAAGAATATCGTATGTAAATTTTGAATTCTAAAAAATAATAACAAAAGTCATTTTTGGTTTAGATTTATAAATATTCTAAAAAGAAAAAAATTCATATGGATCACAATTGGTGTTATTGTTATTTTAATTATATTATCAATAAGTATTTCATTACCTATCGTAATGAAAAAAAAGAAAAATGTATCACAAATAACGACAATAACAACAACAACAGCAGCAATAACAACAGAAGAAACAACAGCAACAGCAACAACAACAGAAGGTAAATGTTTGTGAGATAAATAGTAGAGAAAAGATAGTTTATTGATTAAATCAATACCATCAGTTTGTGTTTCATGTGTTGTTCAGTTAAATTATAGTTCAAGTTAGAATTGTAGAATATATCTTGAAATACAATTTCGACATATGACAGAGAACAATCGATAGAATTTGAACTTTTATATTGTATTTTTTAACTCGAAATCGATTATACATAACTTTCATAGACTAACAACTCATTCTGTCTGATAACGTACAAACAGATGAATAGTTTGGTTTATTGTTTCTCATTTTTATTCTATTTATAAACATAACAAAATAGAAGAATTTTATAATAGTTTAAGAATTATAAAAATCATCAGGGCTTAAGAGTTTTACCCATAGAAAATCATTTATATAATGATAAATTCAGAAATATTTCATACATGTTTTTGATGGATATAATCGTTAGTAAAGATGAATGATTGTCAATATCTGATAAGCACATCTATAAATTAATTGATTATATATAAACATTTGTTTTAATTCCTTTTTTTTTTCTATTTTTGCAGTAGAATTATTATTTACTTCTATGTCAAATAATAGTTATCTCAAATGGCGCCAAAATGTTTCTATTCTTGCCACACATGGTCCTGGAGACGACTTAAATGAAGGTAGAGATACTCAAGGAATCTATATTGATGATGATAACCAGACAATTTATTATACTCGACATAATAGTGATCGAGTTGTTGCACTGAAATTCGGTGAAAAAAGTGTTGAAATTGCTGCTGGTGGAAATGGACCAGGGGATGATTTAAATCAATTAAACAATCCATCAGATGTAACTGTTGATAAAAAAAAAGATTTACTTATTATTTGTGATAAAGGAAACGAACGCGTAGTACAATGGTCTCGTCAAAATCAAACAAGTCCAGAAATAATTATTTCCAAAATTGAATGTAACGGTGTAACAATCGATAATAATGGAGATATTTATGTTTCAGAAGGAAAAACACATAGTGTTATACGATTAAAACAAGGAGAAACAAAGGTAACAACTGTAGCTGGTGGAAAAGGATCTGGATATAAGCCAAATCAACTAAATAATCCTGCTTATATTTTTGTTGACGACCAGTATTCGATTTATGTATGTGATTTTAAATATGGTCGTGTAACAAAATGGATAAAGAATGCACAGGAAGGAATTATTGTTACTGAGGAACAAAATCCAGATGATAATATATTATGGTGGGATTTTCCGTCTGGAATGGCTATCGATCATTTTGGTAATGTATATGTGTCAGAAATTAACCAAAATCGAATAGTGCGCTGGTCGGAAAACTCTAAAGAATGTTACGTTGTTATGAATGGATACGATCAACAACCACATTTATTCGGTGGAGTCGCAGCTATATCATTAGATCGAGAAGGGAATCTATATGTCGCTGATAATTTCCATCATCGAATAGTGAAGTTTGATGTTGATGTTAATTGAAATTATTATTTGTAATCGAATAAATTCCAATGAAACAATTTGCTTTTTTTGTCATTTTTTTCTTTTCATCTTATTTAAAAATAAATCATTTTATAATTGAATTCTTCTAATTTATTGTTCTCTTAACATATCTAGAATCTTCGAAGATATTTTCATCGATTATCACAATCGTCTGTTATAGATCGTATACGATTGAGCTGTTTAAATGAATCATTTTAGATGAGAAAATATTTTCAAGTTTTGTTTCGATATGAACTTAAACTGAATTTATTGATTTTTATTCGTCACTTAATAGATGAACAAATCCATTTACACATAAATCTATAAATACGTATCTATTATTATTTTTTCTCATGTTTTCTTTATCTTCAATAATAATAAATATGAACAACGTGATATTCTTATTCATATTGTTAAGATGAGTTATCTATGGAAAAGAATAATTATAAACAAACCGATGAAAGAGTACTATCACAAATAGAGAGTAGTTCATACAAAATTGATACAAATTTCTTTTATTATTATCCATGAAAGAAAAATAATTCACTTTGATAGAATAAATGACTTTGAGTATATGATAAAGAGTATCTCATTTATCTCTTATGTCTGTTCATATTAAAATTCAACTATTATTTAATTTTCTTATTAAACTACTAGTTTAGATTTAACTGAAGAATAGATAAGGTTAATATAACTGTCTTTTAATTTTTTAATATAAATAGGAAATTTTCAATGTATAAGTTACAATACAAATAAAAATAGAAATTGTTCTTTTCTAACATCATAAACATAACCACAAACCATAATAACAATTGACTTAAGTTGGAATATTACTTTAGTGTAACAATGTATGAAAAATATAATATTTTGAGATTTTTTTTGTATTATCACTTATAGATTGAAAATGATTGTATAAGATCGAAAATTTTCTATTTATATTAAAAAATCTCAAGATGATAATAATATTATTTATATATATAGATCTATTGATATCATATCTTTGTTTGAAGATTAATCAGTAGTCTACCCATTATTTTCAGATTAGTTTTCATTTTTACTAAGATTCATTGTGTTCAATCTGATTGTAAATGTTAATTAATACTAGAATTTCGATTAGTCAAGTACTTATAGAATTCATCAGATTCAAATTTATTTCATTTAAGAGAAAATAAAACAATGTATGATTTTATTTATTTCACATAGAATTTAGAAAGCGAGTGTAGATGCAACAATAAAAGCAAAAGAGATAATATTAACATAAGTACATTCGACTATCATGGTGAAATGATACTACAGATAATAAATAAAGAAAAATGTTATTTTTATTTTGAGAAAAAATTTATTTTTGCTATCATAGAAATAAATTCCTGTTTGTATGTTTTTGAAGGTAAAATAAATAATATAATAATAAGTAATGGTGGAATAAATGAAATATAATATCCAATTAAATATAACCATGGATTCCGTATTGAATCCATACATCCAGATAGAAATGAAATAATTAAACGAGGAATAGATAATAATATTAAAATACATGATGATATAAGAAGATGTTTATTTTGTTTAATTTGAGCATAAAGAATTTTTTTATATGCTGATTTTTTCTTTGTTTTGACACGTATTCGAAATACTTGAATAGTAATACATATAGCAGATAATATATTAATGATAAATGGTATTAAAACATGAAATATATTTATAAATTTATCATATTTTTTTAAACTTGTTGAATATTCAAGAATACACCATGCTCTTTGTTCATCATCAATGTCATTAATTGTTCGACGAGATATTGGATCATGAATATATGATATACTTATTAATAATAATATTGTTCCTATAACATATTTCGCTATAGATTTACTTTTTGACTGATTAAAATGTATTCCTTGTGTAGCAGCTAATGTTCTTTCAATGGCTACAGCTACATATAACCAATCACCAAAACTGAGAAGAATTTTTAATAATACATCAGTTAATATACAACTAAAATAAATAAATGATGTATTTGTTATAGATTTCATTTGAAAAACAATGAGTTGGAAATATTTAATTGTAAATATAGTTATTGTTAATATTGATATGATTGAATTTGTTAATAAATATATTCCACAGCCTACTTTAAGTAAAGTTTCACTTTTAAATGTTAATATAGATAATACTCCATTAATAATACTAAATATTAACATTAAAATTGTTATGGATGCTGTTATTTTTACTGCGCTGGATTGTTTTGTAAATGAAATAAATGGTTTAATATGATATCCAAAAATAACATCAAGTGATGTACTAAAACCTATGCTATTAAATTGACATTTACTTCCATAATAACATTTATCACACATACATACTAAAGTTGATGGACAAGTTCTATTATCTTGAAAACATTTGCCATTGTTTCCACAATAACGATTACGTTGACAATCATAAGACGTATTATGATCAAAATCAAAACAATTTGAATATCGATTTTTATCGCAAACACACATATATTTATCATCATAGAAACATTTTAACTTGAGATTTTCTCTGCATGGTAGTAGATAATATTTTAATCGACGAAGATTTGTATAATTAAGTATTGTTGAATTTAAAAGTTTATTTATATTTTCACATTTATAATCTTGATTTATATTAGTAGCAATATTTTCGGATGGAATTATTTTTTCTCTTACTACAGTAAGATAATAATTATCTGAAAATTCAATAAATAATAAATTAAATGGAATCTGAGTAATGAATTCAATTGAATATTGATCCAATGGAATTTTTTTAAACTTTGTTATTCTTTCATGTCTTCTATCATGATCATGATGTGAAATAAAATAATGAGCAAAAATTAATGTTGGAATTGAATTGATTTTAAAATTAATATTAATTTTATTTGATTGATATTCACAATGAGATCCCATAAACTTTTCCGGACATAAACAAATAAAATCATCATGATTGATATGATTATTATAAGGTATACATTGACCATTATTTTGACATGAATTATTATTCGGTCGACAAGTTGTATATTGTAAATAACATTTTGAACCAAATTTATTTAATGGACATAAACAAATTGATGAATTTAAACAAATTGAACCAGATGAACATGAACAGTTATATGTTATATTACAAAAACGACCTGAATAACCTTGATTACAAAGACAAAATTCTTTTGTTGTATTAATATAATTAAAACATTTTCCATGTTTTCCACATTGAATTGAACAATTTGTTAATGGTTGAAATTTTTCTGATGGAATACGAAGTTGTGTTGATATACGATTAACTGGTAAAAATGGAAATGGAATAGATAAATTCCAACTTGCATAATAATTAAATAATGTTAATTTTTCATAAATATCAATACGTATTGAATATGTATGATTAGGATTTTTTGGTTGATTAGGATAAAGTAAATAACGATTGTATTTTGTATTACAATCTTTTGATGTCATATAATTAATTTTTTCATAGTTATGTATTATTTCATTTTCATCATCAATTAAATAAATAAATATATCATAAATAGAATGTTTATTCTCATGTGAACCTACTGGACGTATCTGAAGTGTTAAACTAATACGTTGATTTTGCAATTGACATCGATCACCGTAATAATTAGGTGGACATAAACATTTCTTTTCATAAGATTTTCCTTCAAATATAACAATTGCACGATTACAATATACGATTGATTCAATACTAGTATTGATTTTGAGAGATTTTTTTGGGTTAATATTGATAGATTGTTGAGATGATAATGATGTTTCATTTATTACTGGTGGAAAATATCCCAAATTCCATGTAGAAAAATAATAAGGATCACTACCAAAGCTAGCATGCTTTCCCATAAGACATGATGCTCTATTATCATGAAAATTTATTTGGAGTGTAGGGCTAATAAGAATATTTTCTTTGTCAACAATATTACATATTAATTGTTGATCATTAGTTGATGAATAACCACAAATATCAATTTTTGTTAAACAAGTCTTTTCTTTCCATGATATATATTTTTTATTAATATTAAAAGTTAAATTATTCGAATAAGATATGTTTCGATCTCGATAAATACCATCACTAAAATCATGATTAATACAATCCAGTGGTTTTTCATAAATATATTCTTGACGAATACAATAATAATCATTAGCTAAATTGAAAATTTCACATTTAAATTCATTAATATTACAATTAACATTAGGACAACTCAATTCATCGATACCATTAGCACATTGAAAAGTATTATCACATCGAGTGTATGGAGTATGACAGGGCCACAGTTCACAATTGGTTTCATCATTTTCATTATCTTCTGGTCGTATCGGTGTATCAGGTATACCATTACAAAGACGTGCATATACAAATATTTCAGGACTTCCAGTATATTTATCTTCTTCATTCTTGCAATGAGGTTGATCAAGGCCAATACCTACAGGTGATAAACATTTTGTTTCTGATGTACAAGTAAAGCGTTGAGTATCATTTAATGAACAACTATCATTATAACTTTCATCTTCACCATTAAAACAATCCAGAGTACCATCAATGAGACGATGTTTCGATATATATTTATTAGATTTTTTACAATAAAATAAAGATGACTTTGATTTATATTTATTAATATTTCCCGTTAATGCACAAATCCTAGTATCTTCTTCCAAATGAATTGACCAAAATGAACTGTCGGGTAAAGGTGTTGGAGCTTCACGACAATCTAGACCATTGATACGAGTTGTTGGTTTTGGCAAATATAAACATAATCGTGGATCAGTACAGACATATTTTGGCAATCCAATACCATTACGACTTCCGATCAAGCTTTTAGGTGAATACATAAGTTGAAAATAACCATGTAAAACAGGTTCAGCAGGAAATGCAAGATATTCTAATGTACAATTTTTTGATGACCAATTTGTACGTAAGCAATCTTCTCTATTGTATGTATCATTTTTAAGAATGTTATAAAAACCGAGTTTACAGTATAATAAAAAATAACAATCACTCGGATATCGTTTGGCTGATTTATACATTGCTTGAAGAAAGTAGGCAGTACGACCTATACCGTTACAAGCATGTTCACTTGTACTAACAGAAAGAAAACCAAAGTTAGTTTTTACGCAAAGTCCATTGCCACATGAAAATTCTTGTGGTTGACGACATGTTTTCTCTTCACAAGCGAATCGCATTGAACCGATGCATCTACGAGGGTCGTCCGTCGGCACACTTGACCACGATGCAGGATATTCTTCAGGTTCATCTGTTCCATCCAAGCAATCTTTACTTAGTCGACTATCACGAAAGAATTCGAGTGGAATACATTGTGCTCCGTTATGACATCGATATTCATTTTCGTTACATTCATTTATTTCAAGTTCACTACAATATTCTTCATCTATACCAAAGCTCTCTCCAATACAATCGATTTTTCCATCACATATTTCACGCCAATCTAAACACATCGGTTCAGGACCACGATGACATCCAGATAAATGAGGATAACAAGTATGTATTACAATGTTTTCTCCTATATGGTATTGACGAGCTTCAAATGAAGAATCTACGAAATCCCCAAATGATTCAATAAACATATTCAAATTAAATGTATATTGACAATTCGAACCAAACCATAATGATGAACAATTATTAAAAATAAATTCATCAAATTCGGTATCATTTTTATTTAGATATATAGAATATTGTTCAATAATATCAATTGATAGTGACCATTGACGAAGATTTTCACTCGTAATTCCTTGTAAACGTAAATTCTTAAATGTGTACGTATTTTCTATATATCCTTGTATTTTATTAGTAGGATCGATTGATAATGGACGTCGACAATAAGGTATTAGATAATTTGTTCGAAATGAAACGTGTTCATATGATTCACCATCATCATTTATATAAGCATAAAGACAATCGAAAGTTGTTTTTGAATTATCAATTGTATTATACAGAAATGATGCATTTGATTTAATTATTGTCATCGATAATAATGTAATAAAATATAACAATTGCCAATGCATCATAATAATTTTAGAAATATAAAAACTAATGATTATTATGATATTAGTGTTTTGTAGATCAATTGCAAAAATTGTGAAACTAGAAAAAGAAGATAAAGATTTTAGTATATTTTTTCATATATATATATCTTCAAAGAATATCAGACAAAACTAAATGCGCAACTGATAATTTGTTTTATTTTATCATTATCATGAAACAAGGAAATGAAAAGTAACAATACCAATATTGTTGTATATTTATCTGAATAAAACAGAAACATGATTTTCACCGAACTAAACTGCAAAATCAGATAGGAAATGCGTAATTCCTTTAGGAAACACATCTGTATTATGTTTTGTTGCAGAAAATACAGTATCAATATTTAATGCACTTTTATCATATTTTTTAGGTTACAGTGTCTTAAATATGCGTGAGTGTTCTAGCAAATTCTATATCTTTTCACTGAACACTAATATTATCAACATTGAACATTAAGTAGTTTAAAATTATTTTATTGGTTAAAAACTCATCAATTATTGTCAACTTTTACGATTTTATAATTCGAGTATTTAAAATACAGATATAAGATAAACAAAATATTCACATTTTTACCCATAACCATATACAGTTTAAATCTTATCGGTAAGACGTATCAATATGATTTTGTGATATTTTATCAAATAAATGGTATATAATCACACTAAACAAGAATGTGAATATTTTATTCATCGAATGTCCACATCCTCAAGATATTTTACAAATCTTTCGTTATCTGTTATGTGTAAAAATATTGAAATAATATCTTAACCCTTTCAAAGCTAGTGGAATATATATATGTGTATCATCTTTTTATTTTTCGCTATAGAATTTTAATGAATTGGGAAAATCGATTCTGATAGAAAGACCGAGAATATTGCATGAAGGGCATTCATTTCCTACTATTACAGCTAAAAAACAGAAAATGATGGTGTATATTTTCTTTTTTTACTGTGTACTAAATAAAGGAAAAACTAAGATAAGAGAGAATATGAGGATTTGAACGATACTCACGGAGAGAGAAAAAAGAACGCTCTATATATGTAAATGTATGACGCATATCGATAATATAAAGGAAACAACTGTATACATGCACGGATGTATAGAATACGTAATGTATCTGGTTAGAAGCTTTAGACCATTTCACAAAAAAACATATAAGATGAATCCATCTTAGAAAAGTGTTAATTTTCAATTTAAAATAATACAGTGCATCATGAATTTCTGAATTGATGATATTTTCAATCTGATACACGAACAAACAAATATTTACAGAAGGCAGAAATATCAGAAATCAAGAGATAAGTTTCTTTCAATTGATATTAAAAAAGTCAAAATAGAATAATTTCTTGACATCAACATCATTATGGAATATTTTGAAAATTCATTAGTCAATTCCTACTGGTCTACAGACGCATCATTCCAAAATGAAAAGAGTTCAACATCAATGTCACATAAAATTTCCGAAATCTTCAAAATTTATATCTTGTTGACAATTCAGTAACAGCAAAAAGTGAAAAAATAGAACCCAATAAGCTGTACAAAATTAGACTTGAAGATTTTGACAAACTGATAGTAAATTCGGATTCAGACACCCCGAAAAGCTTTAACCGCGGTCTTAAACGACTTTGTTTTCTCGAAATAGCCGTTTCCTGATGTAGATCCTGGTAGATTCTAAAACAAACTGAATTATTTTTGAATTTAATTTTTTTAATTATCATGTAATTCATTTCCGTCAAACTAATGGATTTTAATAAATAAAATTATTGTAATCTAATAAGAATGCATTATTTAGTAATATTTAACACAATAAATTAGATACTTATCAAAACAGGATTTAAATCAAAAATTTTTAATATAATAAAAATAATCATGATTAATTCTCTTAAAATTAATCTCGAAATAGTATGATAAATTGTCAACGATAGTTCATCTTCTATAAAGATAGAATAGTTTTTATTTAACAAAATAATTCTTATAAGAGTTTTTATTTATTTCAATGATCTATACAAGTTACTTTTATGATGAAAAACTATTAATAAAAGATACATTATATTTTATCTTATCAGTATGTTGCTTTCATCAATAGGTAGTTCTTATCAATTAGCAACTTCAACATTTCTATTCATCATATTCATCATGTATGTCGTTTTTATTCTTATTGTCAGCGTTTACAATGTTTTTATTTTGAGCACAACTGCATTGCCTATTACGTGTCCTAGCTCAACGGGTGAATGGTGTCAAACTAAAGAGATTGCTGCTGTTTGTGGTGTTCGTATTATTAATCTTTTTTTTAATTTTCTTTCATAGTGAATTTTATTCTATCAGGTAACTAAACAATGTACATCATTTGTATGGAAGACTACTGCCGATAATGATCGAGTAAACTTTACAATTTATTATGAATCACTCTGTGCTGATTGTCGTCAATTTACTATTACACAGGTATGGTTTGCATATCAAGCTGTTATTGATATAGTTAATTTAACATTTGTTCCTTATGGAAATGCTCATGAAGTTTATCGACCTGAAACACAATTATATCAATTCTATTGTCAACATGGTTCTGATGAATGTTATGCAAATCTAATTCATGTAAGTTATCAATTCAATAAGAAGATTTTCTTATAATTATGTTTTTTTTTAGACATGTGCTATTGCATCTTACCCAGATATTCATCAACATATGGTAAAAATAAAAAGAATGAAGCAAAAAAAAAGAAATTCTAAATTATTATTTTAGCCGTTTCTTTATTGTATGGATTCCACATTCGGTGATGTTGAAACAGTAGCAAGACAATGTGCAAGAAATACAAGTATAGATTTTGAAAAAATTACAACTTGTACAAATAGTCGAATGGGTAATCAATTACAACATATCTATGCTGTCCAAACTGAACAAACTAAACCGGCAGATGCATTTGTACCATATGTAACACTAAATGGAAATCATACTGATGAAATTCAAGATCTGGCTCAAACAGATCTTATTGCTCTTTTATGTAACACGTACAAGGTAAGATTAAAGAATAATTGTTATAAAATTTAATTATATTCTTATATTGTTATTAAGGGTTCCAATCCACCGGCTCGATGTAAAAAGACAAAATAATCCGTTTTTTTTTAAATCAAATACATATAATGAACAACGAGAAATAACATTCTATTTGAAAGTGAATTTAACATTCAATAGTATGAAAAATTTTAAGCTAAAATCATAGAAAAGATTTTTCTACTATTAGGTTTTGTACAATATTTAAATTTTACTTTTGTTTTATTTATTTCATTTCAAAAAAGTGAAGAGAGTTGTACAGAGAATAGCCAGTCATACATTAATGAAATGATCCTTATGCATAAAAATTTAAGTAAAGTTTTATCTATAATAAAAAAATCAATTCATTTGATTTAGTCGAAGTGGAGATATTTAAATTTTCTATCACCGTGTTATTTATCTGCTACTCGGTATGTAGAATATAGTTTTCATTCAATTATTTTTAACAACAGAATTTAATCTATTTTGTTACCCGATAGGGTAGTTAGATTTGTTAAATCTTATACAAAGCTTTTAATTTCATAAATTGAATTAGCAGAGATTAACATTTATTTGCTTTTAGAATATTTTTTTAAAAACTGTATTGACCGAAAAAGAAAATCAATAGATATATATATAGGTGATGTGCTTGCGCTTAAAGCATTTGATTATTTTTCTTTCAAAAAGAAACAATGCAAGCTTCGTGGCAATATATTCTCCTTGTTTCACTTTTTGCAGTAGCCTATGGAAAGTTTGAGACAAGCAATATTCGATCTATCTCTAGTGGACTCTCATTTGGAATGTGCCGTGGTTATTGTCAATCGTCAATTAATGCAACAGGAAATCCATCTGAAGTAATTGCTTCAAAACAACCAAACTTTGTTGATGAATCGTATCCACCAGTTCGACAACAATTTTCATTTTCATCGACTGAATGGGAACAACTTGTCTCTCTTGTAGATCTCAAGGTATTTACCGCATTGGCTGATACTATTGGGTGTCCTGGTTGTGCTGATGGTGGCATAGAATGGATTCAGATTGATTGGACAGAAGGAACTAAACGGGTGACATTTGGAAGTCGAAATGGTGTCAAAGGAATTGCATCACTTGTTGAAACATTACGACAAATGAGAGAGCAATACCTTTCTCAATTTTAAATTGAAAATTTGTCAGTTTAAAAATATAAGTGAATAAAATCGCAAAAAATTGTTAATTACTCTTTTTCTATTTGATTGTTTTAAAGGAAAGAAGTGAAGTTCATATTTGAAATAATTATATCATCACGTGTATGCAAATACTACAGAACAATTTTTATTTTTGTTGTGAATAGACGCTGAAAACAGCAATTTTTTTTCTCATAATATATGACTCTGAAATAACCGCTTTTGCAGTTAATCTATCGATTTAAGTGCTCAGAGTTTTAAAAAAAAAGAAATTGTACTATTTTAAAAAGCAGAAGACTGATATAACAATATGATTGTTTAGTTTGAAAGCAATTTTGAAAAGAGTCTTGATGTATATATATGTTGTTCGATAGATGACAGCACTATACGAACGATCTTTTATTTTTATTCAAGGATTTTATATTTTAACTTTAATATGAAAATACTTTTATGAATATCTATGTATTTTACTACTGAGTTTCAAAATCAGTTCATCCTTTATAGTTAGTTAATCATGATATTTCTATGGAAACATGTTGAATTCATTTGTCGGATGGTAACTATTTTAAAAAAAAGACAGTCTTCAAGTGTTTGACCAAATTTGAAATATAATGGATAACTCAATTCAATATGCTCAGGTTATGAGTAATTTTGATTCAGTTTATAATGCTGCACCTAATCTTGTGCATCATTATCCTATTACCTATAGGTCTACCTCTTCGTTATATTCAAATCAAAATCAATCAATATCTCCATCATTAAATTCATCAAATACAAAATTTAATTTTGATTTATATAAACCAAACGATTATCTCTCTGAATCTATTGATTATTATCCATCACCTTCATCGTCTGTGATAGTTCATCATCATCCTGTATATTCTCCGCCTCCTCCTCCTCCTCCTCCTTCACAAGCAATATCAAAATTACGTCAAATTAATGATGAATTATGCTATACTCTGGCACAATCTGAATTCACTAATCATTCTCTGCCACCTCGACCACAACATTACCATGTTCATCACTGTCCAGCTCCTCATGATACATATCGTTCTCATGCTTCAATGGAGCGAGATTCATCAACAGAATCTGAACAATCGGAACCTAAAAAACGAAATGCTCGAATAACATACAAAGTTCATATTCCACGACGACAACGACAACGACAAAATTCAATGTCTAAAGTAGATCAGCTTCTTATGTCAACTTCAGATGCATATTTACAAGATGATCCAATGACAGTTGATTTCTATCCAACACAAGATCAAGGTTTTGTTAGAAAAATTCGAAATCGTCCAGATAATCAAAGCCCATGGCTTACGAATACCTCACCTGTTCGACGAAATTCTTATTCAGAAGCTAGCACCTATCGTACACCTCGAGCACCAGATTATGATAATAAACTAATACAACCAAAAAGTCGATTATCTGATTGCAAAGGTTTGTAATAAAAAATAAGAAAAGTAATTACAAATATATCCTATTCTAGACCGTCCAAGATCCACATCTGTAAAGTCTCGTTTTCGTCCGGACAGTGCACCAAATCCACTTCGTCAATCGGCTAGTTCTTTTTTTAGTACAGTACCTACATGGCGACCAAGCGGTGCAATTAAACCATCGAAATTTATGGGTTCTAATGCTCCACCAACAGAATCGAAACCAAATCGTGAAGCTCCTTGGAAGCCTGCTGGTATTACAAATAAAAAGAAGCCATTTCGTGCTTTTGATCCAACTAGTAAAGCTGTATCAAAAACACAGGAACCTATTTGGCGTCCACCTTCTAAAAACCTTTCAAAAAAAAATCTAAGATATTTTGAACCTGCTATTAAACCTGAATTGATTGCACCAATTACACAAGAAACTGAATTAGTAGTACCAAAAAAAACAAGAAAAAATCAACCGAGAATGTCCAGCGCTAATCCTGAATTAAAAACACGTATTATAAATGCTGAAAGTAAAGTAAAATCTGCATGGGACTCTACAGCAGCAACAACAACAACTAAAGAACCTAGACCACCTATTCCACGTGCTGCTAAGCCAACAACGTTAACGACAGCTACAGTTCCAAAGACAAAAGTAAAATCTATTCCATCTCAACCTATTAGACCCGCTAAAAAAGTTATTTCGAACGCTCCGACATCTACTGATACTGGTCGAAGTTCATTGAATGAAGTTCCTAAAAAACCATTATTTCAATCAACACCAAGAAATCAAAGTATTGTTCAGGAAAATGATAATAGTATTGTTGATCTATTCGATAATGAATCACAAATATCAGAACCTACAGAGAGACAAGGTATACTTCATCCACAACCTCAAATAGAAAAAACACCACCTAAACTTTGTATGTATATATATATATATAGTTATTCAAATTATTTTAATTAAATTCTATCTCTAGCTAATACAACAGTACCAGAACCAGATAAAGAAACAAAATCAACAATCAAAGATGATGTATTAATACATGGAGATGATGCAGATAATCTTCGTGATACTCGAAGTTTGTTTTTTTTTTCTTTATAAAATTTTACAATTATAACTCTGTTTGTTTCAATTAGCACCTTCACCAACGTCTGAGATCAACAATAAAGATGAAGAAGAAGAAGAAGAAGTGTTCGATGATCCTAGTTTGCAACCAACACCTATTCTTCCTAAGCGAAAAGGTCAGATTCTTTAAATAAAATAATTTTTATCATATAAAAATCAATTCTTTTCTTTTGATGTTTTTAGAATCTTCTCCTAAACCGGATAATAGAGATGATGACGATGCTGTTATACAAAATGAAAATGATACCGATGATGATGCTGAACCAAGTTTGTCACAAGCTGCAGTTAGTTCAAAGGAAAATAAGCAACAAATATCAAGTACTCCTCCACCAGTTACAACAAATAATGAAGCTGATGATTTTTTTGATTAAAATTTCAAGTTCTTTTGTACATCGATTTATTCTTCAATCAAAATTCTATTTTTTTTTCACATAAAAACGTGCAAAATATATAACATGACATAAAAAAAAGAACAAGTATTGTTTTTCACCAATCAAAATAAAGATACATACCTCATTGATGATGAATTCTATGTAGAATTGCGTTTTGCTTAGATTTGAAGGTATCGATATAATGAATAAAATTTCTTCTAAATCTTTTCTACAAATGAATAAAAAAGTAAACTTTTCTTGTTAGTAGTAAAGAAATGAAAAAAAAACGAGAACATTCTTGAATAAATGACGGATCAGATCAGATGGTATCATACATGACTCAGGATTGCGTTCTTTTTTGTACTTATTGCTCTATTCTGTTCTCGAAGAACGTTACTACATATATATATTATCGATTCTTTGCTATTATTCTCATATATTTTTTCTTACATACAAACATTTATTTTCAATAAAATGCCTCATCGTTCAGGTGGTAGTGGAATGCGATCTTTTTCCCCATCTAGGTATGTATTAAATGAATATTTTTCATTGATTATTCATGTAAAATGATGTTTCAAGAGCTCCTGCTCCACGATCAACTCATGCTATTGTAGCACCTCCTCCAGCAGTTCCTGCTCCTATCATGGCACCAGTTGGTCGCCAACCTGGCTTATTTGGACAGATGGCTGCTACAGCTGGTGGAGTTGCTGTTGGTTCAGCCGTTGGACACACTATTGGTGCTGCATTAACTGGTAAAATACACTTCTCAATATTAAAGATTATGACAATATTTTGTTGTTCTTCGTACATTAGGTGGATACCATGGTCATGAACAACCAGTTGCTACGCAAACAACAACTGGTCCAACAGCTCAACCACTCTATCAGGATTCTACTGACAGATATAGTACTGATCGATGTAATTTATATCAAAAAGAATTTCTTAAATGTCTTGATAATGCAAATGGAGATTCTAAGCAATGTCAAGGATTCTGGGAAGCTTTAAAAGTAAAATCTTATTATATACGTATATTTCCATTAGTATAATTAATTTATCCATTTCACTTTTAGGAATGTCAACGATATCAAAGTTCTGGTAGGTTTTTAATTTATATCATTTATTATTATTATTATTCTCTATTAAAATTTTATTTTAGCAACAATTTAAATATCAACGATTTGAAGATTTTAAACTTACTGTATATTTTTTTTTGTATTTTTTTAAATATATAATTGACGTAAACGAGATGAACCAAATTGTATAATGTTGGATTATAAATTGTCAAGTCTTATATAACAGTTTTGTTTTTGAAATATAGAAAGTAGGTTAATATATGTACTACGATCTTCTATGTCGTATAAAAATAACTATTCTTAAGGAGCAATTTTTTTTATTAAAAAGTCAGTTTTTATCTGTCATTCAATTTTTAATTTAATTCATCAACAACAAAAAAAAGAAATCTTCTTTAGGATAAACTTATTCAATATTATTAACAAAAAATGTTCTCAGAGAACTAGTAGTTTATACTTCGTATTTAATAATGTTACAAAATGCATTTCATTATCTTAGAATATTCTTCTTATATAAACTTAAGTTACACTATTTGTCGATTTTATAAATAGCAGTAAATGTCAGCTTCATATATATCTTCGCTTAATTTTATTGCTCAACAAATGACTATTTATTTGGGTATACCAATTCTTATTAGTGGTTTAATTGGTAGTTTAATCAATGTCATTGTTTTTCTTAGTCTGCAAACATTTCGACAAAATTCTTGTGCATTTTATTTAACTATTATGTCTATCGTTAATATTGGTCATTTATCAACTGGATTATTAACACGAATTCTAATTAGTGGCTTTAATATAGATCCAACACAAACATCAGTATTTTATTGTAAATTTCGTGCATATTTCGTTCAAGTATGTATTTCAATGTCATTAACATGTATGTGTTTCGCAACAATTGATCAATTTTTAGCAACTTGTCATTCTCAACGTTGGCAACAATGGAGTCATATTAAAGTAGCTCATCGTTTAATTATTGGATCACTTATTATTTGGCTTTTACATGGAATTCCATATTGGATTTATTACAATCTAGTGACATCAGTTACAACAAGTCAAAATACATGTATTAGTACAAATTATATATTTCAACTATATAATATAGGTGTTTATTCAATTATATTAAATGGTTTGTTACCTATTTTTATCAGTATTTTATTTGGATTGTTAGCATATCGAAATGTTCATGATTTATCTTATCGCACAATACCACTCGTAAGACGTGAATTAGACAAACAATTAACAGTTATAGTTCTTATTCAAGTTATTTCAAATTTTATAACTGCAATGCCATATGCTATTACAAATATTCTTACATTAAATGCAACTATAATGAATGATGTAGTTAATTTGGCTAAATTAAGATTTATTACTGTTATGACTATTTGTATTTTATATTTAAATTTTGCAGTAAGCGATAGAATATCATGATTATAATATATATATTTTTATTTATAGAGTCCATTTTATATGTATATATGCGTGTCTGCACGATTTCGTCAACAATTCATCTATGTTTTTTATAAAATGCACTGTAAGAAATGGAAACGAAGGAGAATAGCTATTAATCAAGTAATACCATAAGACTAGTCAGTACAAATAAATTAAATTTTCTATAAAAAGAAGAAGCAAGGACCTTTTTCTTTTATATTATTATAATCTTCGTATTGTCAATAAAGAATGTAATAATACAGTATTCTTCTTGATCTAAATATATTCTATTCAATGTATTATAAATTTAGATTAAGGAAGTGTATTAAATAAAATGTTGAATAGAAAAATATTTGATGAAGAAAAATTCAATACAAATTTTTCTATTTATAATTTCATATTTTATTTAAAATGAACATAATTGATACTTTAAAAAGAACAAAAGACAATCATATAAAGTTCAATAGAATTTTCATAAAAATTTAATACAATAGATGTCTAGTATCTTCATTAGATCATTTGAATTTTGTTATACTTAATACTACATCAATCGAATAAGATTAGCTTTTGACGTCAAGCAAATATTTATTAACAAGGTCTGAGGTCATTTATGAGAGACAGCATGAGAGAAAAATGTTTCAAATGAATATATTTATTATTTTTTTTATCAACCAACGTCGATATCAAGTTATATTATCAAAACAAAATTGGATAACTATCAAGCATTGTAGTCTATTGTAGATCTATTTTCAATAGAAATAATCAAGCGAATATAACGCAAAAAACAGATAAAATCTATCATTAATGAATAATGTCTATGTTTGACGAATGTGGAAAGCTGATATAAAGAATTTGTAAATCTAATGAATATTCCTGTTCACCAAACAAATGTCAATAGAAAGAAAACTTATGGCAGGAAATAACAAAAAAGACTGTTATATTATTATTATAGTGATTAGAAAACACATTTAGTTAGCCAAGAAATTGTTTATAAGGTCAAAGTAATGTAAAACAAATCATTCTGGTTTCGCTTTTCATATTAACAATTTGATGATACTATTTGACCCGTCAAAAATCCTTGATACTAAATGTCGAACTGTTGACAACTAGGTTCAGATTAGCGTCTAGCATTGTTGTTTACATCTATTTTGACAATAATTAATTTAATGGCTTATCTTCTTTCTAATTATTTTCTCGTTGAATGATGAAAAACATATTTGCCATTTCTTCGTTTTTAAATATAAATAAATTTTTGAAAAAAAAATTTCTTTAACGATAATATCTAAAAAGATTATC